TCACAACTATTAGAATTGTTCTCACTTGCATTTTCAGGATCAAGCCTTAGAGCTCAGCTTTCCTAATATACAAACCTTTTACTAGCCAGTTGTTGACTGCTGACTGAAGGGTTGGTGTGTACAAGCAACTATGGCAGTAAACAAACAATACGCATTTAACATGGGAGTTGCTACCAAAGGAATTGAGCCATGTGCTTTAAAATAGGACTTACTACACAACAAGGAAGTCTGTATTGTTTGTTCATCTTCCAGGATCTCCTAGAAGTAAAAGTGTTAAATGTTTTGGGGGCAACCATCAGGAGGTTATTGCACCAAGAAAAGGAGAATAGAAGAGGATCATAGGAAGCAGTTTAATGAGTTCAACATTTTCCCATTCTCTAGGCAGGGTTGAACTGAGCAGGTATCAGGGAAACACTGTGGATGTCATTGGTATGAGAGTTATGCCATCAGTGCTTCCTCCAGCATTGAATAACGTCCTGTTAAATGATTAAATATCGAGGTTTGAACTTTGACACTTTCATAATATAACAAGATGGATGAAAAGGCAATAATAAATTAGGTTATGTTACAATATTTCATCCCACTTCGTTGACAAGCTTTGTTCTGTGAGATAGATTATTGTTCCATCTGTAACCTCAGCTCAGTGTCATATTTACAATGTTATAGTTAAGGATCACTTGCTGTTTTCAATATAAATGTATTTTTCAACAGATTCATAAAAGAGCCATTTAAAAATTTATCAGGACAAAACTTGGCATTAAAATTTGCAGTCCTGGAGTTACAGTTTCCTTTAAAATCAGGGAATGATTAAACCGCTATGGTTTTTTTAAGGTAGGTTGTGCTTTAAAGAGGTTCTTGCCCAAGCACATCTTAAAGCTATTTGGAAACTATTCATGGCAGATTACTTCAGCACCAGACCAACCTCAAGATTCTCATCCAAGTTTTCCTGTGTCACAGACCTTTGTGGCTGCCCTTGTGTGGCTTTACATCATTGCTATTGAAGAGCACTGCCTAACAAAGGGGAGGGTTACAGTACACCTCAGGGCCCACTGTACTTTTCACAGTTGCAAGAGATGCAACAACAGGAATAATGAGCACTGCATTGATATTCTCTTACTCAGTTACAAATGTAGATCCATATAAAGTGGTTTCATGGTACTTTAGAGTGGTCGTTTGAATGTTAGACCTGTGTGATTTAGTTGGGAAGGGGTGAAAAAAGGAGTATGGGAAGTTGGAGTTCCTTCTTCTTATGAAATTTCTGAACAGTTCCAGGTCCATTAGCTTGGAAAATAAGAACCCATTGATATTTCTCAGTCTTCATTTTTTTAGAGGCTCAAATTTACCAAATAATTTAGTTTCTTGAATGTATAGAATTCAAGGAAGTTGTATATTCCCAGCTGTGTTTTCTGTCTGCCTCGTGCCATAGGAGCGGTTCAGGAACATAGGTGGAAGAAAAGGTGCAAGTTAGAAGGGGAAAATGACCCAGCGTAGGGAGTACTCTGTTCCTTCATTGACCTAGTGTCCAGAGCTGTTCTGGTACCTCTCACACCTCAATCTGCCACACCAGGGACCTGGGCAGAGCCTGGAAATTGTGCTCCTGAAGGCTGACAGTATGGCACTGAGAAGAGAGGGTGGCTGAAGGGCCACGTAGTCAGCAAGCTCTCTGCCTGCATACCTACCTAGGGACTTTTACCTGTAGTCATAGAAAGGGATAGGATTTCCACTTGAATTCAGAGCATCTGATCTTCGTCATTGTAAAACTGGCTAATGCCTAGGTATGAAAAACAACCTGAAATACGTGGTGTGAGCACCCCTATCCACATTCTCTCTGCTGATTTAAAATACATATGATCCTCTCAAAGTTTGCAGGTCTTTGGGACTATACACAAAGGTCCTGATTCAGAAAAGAGCATGCATCCGCTTCGCCCCTCTCTCTGAAAGAAGCCTTAGTGCTCCAAGTTTGTCATTGAACAGGAAAACCCCTGCCTTCTAATGGTTTACACATAAGGCATAAAGTCTCAAGCAGCATCACTGAAAATGTCCCTCTTCTTGTGCTGAAGCCTCATTGCATCCCTCAAAGCAGCCTCAGACCCAAGGCAGAACACCAGTTGTTAAGGTTAGGGACAAAGCACATGTGAAATAAAGATGATGGGGGTAGGTTGCTACTTGCATCTGGAGATTCGAGTTGCTTGTCACTGAATGAGAGTCTGCAGGGCTGCTTCTGGGCTCTGCTGTTTGTTGTTTATGGGACAAAAGTCATTCTTTGTTGGTACACAAAGAGGTTGCAAAGCAACAGCTAGTAGTAAGTATGTTTGGGTGCACCCTTTCTAAAAGTCATGGTTTAGCTTGCGAGAGGGAGTTAAACAGTGCTTTTGGAAGATGTTCATAGTGAAGTTTAATCGTGGAGGGAAGTGAAGGGAGGAATATGTGATGTTTATCGGAGTAAATCAGGAAGGCTTACACAGTGGGACTGAGAGCAGATGGAGGCAGGAGGGAAAACTGAACTGTAGGGAAAGAAGGGTCCAGAAACAGAGAAGTGAGAAAAGTACAGACTGGAGTTGAGGGGAGAAGTAAGCAGCATGTTAAAATCAGATGTTGGAGAGAGATTGGTAACACTAGAGTCCAGAGCTGAGAATTTTATGTGGAATCTGATGACTCCTTATTTCTGCCTCTGAATACAGCTTGTAGGCCTGCTGCTGATTGATGTTACCCAGCTTGGCATCTTTCCTCTAGCATCCTTGGAAAACTGAGGAGCTCAGAGGAGCAGGGAGAGGAAGAGGCTGGGCTGAGGAGAAGCCATTGAGTCCTAGTGTCCTTGAATGGCTCCCATTGGATCTGGAGGGAGAAGCTGACAGCCTGGCTCTTAATAGTGCTCTTGGCTGTTGGCCAGCTGGGAGAGTGAATCACTGAGGCTGATGCAGACTTTGAGCCATCTTGCAAAAGCTTTTAAATGGTTTTCTGTTCTGTCTGCACCGGATAAGGCCAGGGCTCCTGCCTGCCTGCCTGCGTGCTTTTCAGGTGCTGTTTGGGTTCCTAACTCTGAGATGGGATCACATTAGAAAAAATGACTTGTAAAATGACATCCAAACTTAGTTTCTTTGTTACCCAGGTGTTCAATTTGCTGTACTGCCATGTTTTCCTCACTGCCAGGATGTGAAATTCACTCTGTAATGTGATATCCAGCTGTGGTATATTTGCTTCTTACATCACTTTGAGTTTTAAGCCTTCTGCCTTCCACACTCAGCCTGACGGGGAACCACGAAACAGCTTCGTGGCTGGTGGCGTTTAACAGTACCATGAAGAGTAGAGCTGTGTTTCCACTGTAAAACAAACGTGCTTCTCAGCTATGTGGAGAAAAAGTGCTCTGAGGAAGGGAGATGCCCGTTTTGCACAGTGCTAGAAAACAGCTTCTGGTTTGAGGTTCTCTGCATTTTAAACACGGTGAAGGTGTACCAGTTGGTGTCTGTTCTTCCTGTGGATCACTTGCTTGGGTGCCAAAGGAGTGATTGCACTGCCAGTACCTGCTGCTAGCACACAGCGAATGCAGCACTCTAACTTTGGAGCTAGGAAGTTAATTTCATAACAGGAAGGCTAAAGAGGCTTACCTCGAAGAAAGCTGTAGGAGGGCAAGAAACACACAAAAGCCAAATAGAGAAGGGAAAAGAGGGAGAAAATCCCAACAGGAAAAATCTTTATTCCCCATTTTTTTATGAGCCATCATGGATTTTGTGACAGTGAAGCCAGTGTCACTTTAGGAATGTGTAACTTTGATCTCTGTCCCACTCATATGCTAGCATTTCCAAACTGATGGCAGGGCAGAATCTGCTCCTATGTAAGATTAAGTCCTGTTGGCCTATTAGGTGATGACAGCTATCTCCATTGATCATAGTATGTGTATGTTAAAGAAAAAAACATGCATTTCTTGTTTCATTATTCTTTGTAAGCCAGGAGCATCAAAGGAACAGGGTGCCCTCACTGCTCTCACAGCTGTTGCCTGTGTCTGCTGTATATATGCTAAATTAATTGGAAAAACAGGGACAAAAAGGGCATTTAGTTCAGATCAACCAGTTGGACTACAGCAAATGCATGACAGGCTTAATCATTGTCTTTTGCCAAAGATGATGAAATTTGGACTTTTTCCAGCACCTTTGGAGGCGGGATGCTGTAAAAGTAAGGTCTCCACACAGAGCCTGGACACTGTCCTATTGACAGCGTGGGATGATGGGGAGAGTTACAGCAGGTTATCTTGTGTCAGGTGTGAACTCAGCTTTCAACCTTGGTTCATCACGGCTTCACACTCATAGCCCGAGAAGCCACCACAGCTCTCCCTTCTCAAGAATGAGGTAGTTAACTAATGGTATCTTGTTAAAGGCATCAGTCTCTGGTGCCATGCTAAACCCAAACATATGCAGCAATCTTTCTTCCTTTGCCACCATGTTTTCTGCATCCCATGCTCCAGAGGACCTGGCTTTCTTAATAGCTTGCAAAGTTTGGGTCTTCTGAAATAACTTGTATATAAATGTTCAATCTTCCACCTTTAGGAGAGAAGTAGGCGGGCAAGTGAAGGGAGTGGGTGCAGTGTAGCTCTCAAGACTTACTCTGATAGCTGTGTGGTTTTGAAGGTGTAAATGGTTCAGCATCTCAGCGTGTTTTCTATGTTGCAGTAGGAATTAGTATGTGGTATACAGAGTGCGTATTTCACGCTAATTAAAGTGATTTTCTGCTGGACTTCATGGGGAAAGAGTTTTGATGGATGTAAAGATTAAACCAAGTATGAACTCAAGTTAAAATTCGTTGGCGAAATGTTGCTAATATGGGTAGAGAGAAGAATTCATTTCCTATCCCTTCTCTTTCTAGGCAGTTGACTCTAGTGGAAGTTATTCCATGTGCAGCTCAATTCTTGTTCTTCAAGAAATGAATGTGTTACCTTTGCAGTGTTTTTCTTTATTATATCAATAATGTGGCTGTCTTTGGTTTTGTTTGTTTCTTTTTTCTTCCAGGCCTTCTGCTTTATCAAGTAGCCCAACATACTCAGAGCTTCCATTCCTTAGAATTTCCCCGCACCGAAATCCTGCTGCAACATCAGAGTCTCCCTTCAGCACCCCTCACCCTTACATTAACCCCTACATGGACTACATCAGGTCCCTGCACAGCAGCCCATCCCTCTCCATGATCTCAGCAGCCCGTGGGCTCAGCCCAACAGACGGTGGGTTAAGACAGGCTTCCTGTTTTCTGTCATTGTAGCAACTTAAGTTATATTAATCTTGTCAACATTTTTTCCCCCTGTTCAAAGCAGCTTCATCAGGTTTGTCAGACATATTCATTATGTCATAAATGTTTCAATACTTCATCAGCCGATCATGGCTCATTTGTACATCTCACAAATGTTGAAAGTTCAGGGAGAAGGAAAAGACAAAAAAGCCCTGCCTCATTCAAAATTTAAGCTGGGAGGGTGGTGTATCTCTTGTGATACCTTTTGTTTGTGGGGCTGACCCAGGTTGTGATTCTGTTCTCCAAAGAAATCTGATGTATCGGCACTGATTTGAGCCAGATTCTTTGTATTACATCAGCGTATAGCCATAGAATTCTTGAGGTGCAAAACGCTTATTAATTAAAGTAGTATTTTTCTATCATGTAAAGCATGCACTGATGTGTTATACTTAGTTAACAGTTCTGTTAGAATTACGTAGAATTATTTCAGCCAACAATATGGCCAAATGAAATGATGCTAATGCAGAAGAATTGATGATCAGGACTGGGCCTTTCACTTTAAACAGTGGACAGGAGACTTGAAATATCAATGCTTTATGTCTTGGTGTGACCATGGCTATTTCCAGGTTATTTGGGTTGAAGTGAATGCCTGTGATCACTCTTGTCATTACTCTGGCACACTTCTTATTCATTTAAGTGGGAAATTTGCTGAAGTGAGCAATGAAGAGTTTCAGAAGGGCTCAATCTATTAGCAGTAGGTTTTTCAATACTAGAGCAAACAGTTTGACATTTCAAAAGCATAGCATTTGCTGAGAAGAGTGGAAATACAACATATTTGGAAACAAATATGTAGTGAAGATAATGGAACTATTATTTTAACTAGGGGAAAGATCTTCCCAACATATGCAGAAACTTACCAAACAGAGTTAAACTGCCTTTAGCTGAATTTGAAAAATGAGCCATGCACCCTATCCAAATGGATAACTAATTAATCCTCACTTGTAAGAACATATACCTTTACAGTTAATCCATTAGTTATGGGCACATATTCTTATGAGAATAAATTTTAATGACCTATTGTCAATCAAGGTATATGGCATGCACATAGGGCTTTTCCTAGCAGCACTTGGGATGCTGTATGAATCCATGCTAATTCTACTCTTTTTATTTTAGCCAAGGTATTAAAAATATATATACTTAAATTTTGAAGAAACAAGTTGAATCTCAGAAATGCATGTTTTGACTTGTGGAGCTTTGAATCTTTTGATATAGGATAAATATGATAGAGCTATATGTAATGGCATAAATTGGGAAGATTTTTGTGACGTACATTTGAGCTTTTCACAAAAGCTGATATGAAGAACACTTCACTATCTTTCCTTTAATTATCTTCACATCACATTCCTGCAGAATTTCATTGATGCTTAAGGTATGCTCCAGCTGCACGTACAAAGAAAGGAGGGAAAGAAACCACCTATCACACAACCATATGACATTAACCTGTGTACATTCTTGGTCTCAGGTACACATCACTGAATTCACTTGTAGATATGTAGTGCTCTGAGATATGCTGGAGTATCTGGCCCAGCACCCAAGTCACGCTCCAGAAGGGCAGCTACCCTCTAGAGGTGCTTTGCCCTATTCCTCAGGCCAGTTGTAATCTCTCTGAAACTCTCAGATGTCTCAGAATAGAATTTGGTTCCAGATTCTGACACCTAAATTTAGGTCTCTATAGAAATCTGTCTGTGATCCTGGTGTGCTGTTTTGCCGTTATAGTCCAGTGAGTTCTAGGTGATGCACGTTACACCTGGATCTGGAGTTCCATCATAACTATGATAGTAATGTTTGGTGTTGGTTTAGGTCTGTGAAATACCTTGCCTCAACTCACGCTGCCACCTTGGAAAGGCAGTTCTCTCCTCTTAAGGTCTGCCTCCTACCTGACAGCCTCATGTAGGTATTTTGTGTACCCATGGGCTTTCAGATGACACAAAACACTGGGGTATGGACAACACAGTTGAGTATGCTCTGTCTTAATGCTCTTCCCTTGAGCTTTGATTGCTGAAAGACTGTATGCACAGTCTTAGCCTTTCATAAATACAGGTTAAGCGTATTAGCTTAAGCTTCTTTGCGTTTTAAACAAATACATGTTACTTCATGTTTCCTCCAGGCTCACAGCTCACCTTTGATCACTTACACAGCCCAGGTGTTGTGCAGCACCTCGTGAAAATACCAATAACTTGACTGAGGCATCAGAGATGTTTTAATGAAATGACATGCTCATTGAAAAGCTGATGAATTTGTTCTCTGGAATCCATATTTTGTTGTGTGATCCGTCAGTGTGCACGTAAACGCTTTTATCAGGTGTAGGTTCCTGGGATCAGATAATCCAAGATAGGGCTTGGGCACTATTAGAATGCAAATAAACCCCCCTGTGATTTAAAGGGGTGTAGGCACATAATCTACTAATAACGTAATGGACATAGATGGCTTAAGTCGTCTAGCATTTAAACTGTGAAGACTTGGAAGTTGTTATTGTTCTTCTGAAATTCATAGCAAGATTTCTCTTGCTACCCTAACTGCTTTAGGCCAGTCAGATAATTAGGTCAGTGTACTATTGGGCTTAGTCTGTCGACTCACAGATCTGGAGATGGCCAGGAGCCAAAACAATCTGGAACATAACGAAGAGCAGTTTCATGTTCACTACAAGTCTTGCCAGCTGTAATTAATGACTGCCTCAGCAGCACTAATGGTAGAGTGTCTTCTGTCTCGTCACTTCACCTTACCCAGTAGAGTTGGTGGGGCAGGGGTGGCAGAAGATTCATCTGAGTAACGCAAAAGGGTGGGACAGGGGTAAGGATTGTGTTGTTGGTATCTGTAGAGCAGAGTGCTCAAAGCAAGCTCAGCAGTGCCCGCAGTGCAGAAGCAAATGCCTCCGCTTTGTAAAGAAGAGCAGGGGCAAAGCTGAAGCTACCCAGGAATAAACACGAGAAAAATTCAGGGCTGTGGGCCTTCCCATTTACCCTTCATTTACCCTTCATGCAATACATCATTTAGTAGGCTCATTTTTTATGTTTGAAGAAGGTAGTAAGGAATGATCTTTAAAGAGGACCGGAGCATTTCTCAGCATATGGAACATTTAGTAATTCAATTATATGCTCGCCGTGTTTTCTGCAGCAGTTCATTTTAAAGTTTGCAGCCAGTGTTATTGTTAGTTAACCCAGACACTGAGGTCAGAAAGCTCAGGAAGCGTTTTCAGTGTGTCTGGAAAGATACGATGGTTACCTAGTACAGTAAAACTTTCAACATCAGTGACTCAGTGTGAGTTACTCCTCTCTTAAAATTCAGTCTGAATATTTTTCTTGCCCTTTCACAGAAAGTGGTGGTGGCTGAAGTAGATTGTATTTAATTGAGAGATCCATTTGTAATGTGGAAAAAATGCCAACAGCCTTTAATTTATCTCAGCTCATTTTTTATGCCATTCCCATTCCTTTTTGATGTGCTTTTGTTTTTCTGAACCTTTCCTGAAATCGGTTATATTTAACCTTGTAACATCAAAAGCGCATTCTGCCATTTTCTTTGGTAAAAATAAAGGCAGATTATTATGCACTTAAGAAATCTGTTGCTGAATAAACTTTTCTCCAGACCCCAGTGCCATGTTTACCTCCTTTGCATGTCAGTGTTGATTCTTTGCTTCTCATGTTTGCATTAGGCTTCGATTCTGTCACCTTAACATGAGTCACCCTTTTTAATAATACTGTGTAATGACAGGTTAAGTTGGTAGCTCAAAGAAATTCAGCTTAAAATTTTGGTTTCGTTGAAGAATCAGTTCCTGGGATCAAAGAGAAATCTCATTAAATAACATAAAAGAATACAGAAATAATCTGTTGGGGTGTAGTCCCTTAACCTAAGGCACTTGAAGTGGTTTAGGCAAACTTACTTACCAACTTCTGGTGAGCAAAGCATAAGGAAATCTGAACTGTTTTGCAAGTGGGACAAGCAGAGAGCAGAGGGGAGGGCTGCTCACCTCATGAAATTACCCTCTGTTTACTGTAGCATCTGAAACCTGCCGAGATGGGGTGATACTAAAATTTTGTGGATTTCTGTGTTTGTGCAGAGCTGTCCATTAGTTGATGCATGCTTGGAAACTGCAGGGGAACAGAATGCTCACGTAGTATTCTTAAAGGAGAGAAAGACTAATATAAGTCGTTATCAGAGGACTGCACTGCTCATCATCTCACTCACAGGATTTAGAGCCTATCTGGTTATGTTTGCAGACTCTGTTTGACTCTGCAAACATGCTTTTGTCAGGTACACTTCATATATGAACTTTGAAGGATGGGATGCCCACATTCATTGACTTCAGTCTGTCCTCCCCCAAAAGCTGCTCCTATGTTATTCATGGACAAGCAGTATTTGTCCTGAAAACATGCTTTGTCCTTGTTTTCTCCTCAATTTATACACAAAGTGCCACTGTGAGCGAAAAATCTTCTGGTCCTCTAAGCAGAGACTCCAGAAACTTAAATGCTTATGGAAGTCCAACCCCGTCGTTACCTTAGGGACAGAATCCTTTGGGCCAGGGATGAGGTAAATGGGAATAAAACTCTAGGAAGGTTTTCCTGCCTTTTTATGTCATTACATAAATCATGCTGGTTTCCATTGCTGTCAGCCTGTCACTTTTTAAGTCACTTAATAATAAATAAAAAAAATATGAGATCACCAAGCTCATTAATATTTTATGCCTTGCTGTTTTTTGAATGGTGTCTTTGCAGTCTCAGTGGCTGAAATACATTGACCGGCGGTGGCGTACTGCAGATGTTGCATTACATTAAAAATAAACAAGCTGTTTTAATAGCCACCAGCGTGATAAAACTTTCCTTCTTGTTTATCTTACGTCATTAACGGCGCTTTTTATGTTGTGTTTTTAGCTCCACACGCTGGCGTCAGCCCAGCTGAATATTACCATCAGATGGCTCTGTTGGCAGGCCAGCGCAGCCCGTATGCAGACATCATTCCTTCAGCTGCCACTGCAGGAGCCGGTGCTCTTCATATGGAATATCTTCACGCCATGGATAGTAAGTGATGTCTTCTAGACAGTCCTACAAAGGGAACCACATGGGTTGTTCCTGGCCTGACCCAAAAGGCCTCCATGCAGGTAGAGAAGTGGGAGTCAGAGTAAGCTCCTCATGAGGATGGAGGGCCAAAGCATCGATTGCCAAGGATGCAAGGGTTATGTCAAGTCTGAAAGTAAACTTTGAAAATAGGCAGAGGAACTGGACTGCTCCAGAAAACAGGTTATAAATTTAGTTTCCAGCAGGGCTGGAGTGCTTTTAAAAATGTCCTTTTCTGTTCACAATCAGTAACTCACTTTCGTCATTAGGGTGAGTATTTCCCTGATGAGCTCTCTGTTAATAGAAGGTTTACATCTGTGTTTCCATTAGGAGAGCATGCTCCCCTCCTTCTTACATAGCAGTAGCTGTGCTTGCAAGTTGTGTATCGTAGACTGATAGACTTTGAGAACACTTCCAAGGTGAAGCAGTTTGCTGAATTCTCAAGGGTTCTGACTTAGTTTTCCCTAATATTAAGTGCCTTCTTTACCTACATGAAAATCTTTCAGACCTCTAACCTGTCCCCTTTCTCTGGAGAAGGAGGAAGAGAGAGCACTCCATTCCAAACTGCTCAGTACTGCTGCTTTTGATCAGCCAGAAGGGATAATGCAGAGCACTCCCCTCTAGTTGTAAGATGCTTACATGCTTTTGGGTATGTACTCCATTCCTTCCAACAAGGGTGTCCTGGGTTCAGCTGTAACAGTTCCTTTTCTCTGTGGCCAATGCTTCTGAGAAAGTTTTTTCCAAATCCATTACTGTTTTGGCATCAATTTCTTCAGCCTTAACTGACTGCAAAAAACAAAGTTCTTGTTCTCCTCTCTGAGGTTATGGTTCTCCGTGGGATACTTCGCAATCCATGGGTGCTGTTCCACCTGTTCTCTGAGCATCTGCAATTCAGCCTTTCAGTATATGCCAGTGAGTTGCCTTCCACTGATGTGGTGGAGCATAAATGGTAACCTCCAGCGTTGTTCTCTGTGGCCAAAGCTTCTGAGAAGAGTGGTGATGCATGCCCGTGGTCCCAGATGCTCTGGAGGCTGAGCCCACCAGATCGCTTGAGCCTGCTCTAAGGCCGGCATCAATATTGTGAGCCCCAGGGAGCCATACTGATGTGGAGGTTCAAGGTTTAAGGAGGTGTGAACCAGCCCAGGTCAGAGACTGAGCCGGTCAAAGCTCCCATGCTAGTCAGTAGCAGGATCGTGCCTGTGAATAGCCACTGCAGCATAGCCTGGGCAACACAAAAGGGACAAGGATTCCTTTTCTGGGGGGTGATACAGTAGAAGAAGTTTTTGAGAAAGGGAAGAAAATAATCCAAATCCTTCTGAAGGCTGGTTTTGCTGTAAAACAGTAAGGTGAAGGGAGCTGCGCAGGAGATTCAATTTGGGGAATTAAAATGGCAGGTCCCCACAGATGTGATCAACAAGATAACAGCAATGTCTCCACCAACTAATAAGAAAGAAACACAAGCTTTTTTAGGTGTTGTGGAGTTCTGGAGAATGCACATCCCAAATTACAGTCTGATTGTAAGCCCTCTCTATCATGTGATCCAGAACAAGAATGATTTTAAATGGGGCCCTGAGCAACAAGCCTTTGAGCAAATTAAACGCGAGATAGTTCATGCAGTAGCCCTTGGACCAGTCCGGACCGGGCCAGATGTAAAAAATGTGCTGTACACTGCAGCTGGGGAGAACGGTCCTACCTGGAGCCTCTGGCAGAAAGCTCCAGGGGAGACTCGAGGTCGACCCCTCGGCTTTTGGAGTAGGGGATATAAAGGATCTGAGGCCAGCTATACCCCAACTGAGAAAGAGATACTGGCAGCCTATGAAGGGGTTCGAGCTGCTTCGGAAGTGATTGGCACTGAAGCACAGCTCCTCCTGGCACCCTGGCTGCCCGTGCTGGGCTGGATGTTCAAAGGCAGGGTCTCCTCTACACATCATGCAACTGATGCTTCATGGAGTAAGTGGGCTGCACTAATTACGCAACGAACTCAAACAGGAAATCTCAGTTGTGCAGGCATTCTAGAAGTCATCATGGACTGGCCAGAGGGCAAAGATTTCGGAATGTCACCGGAGGAGGAGGCGGTGCGTGCTGAAGAGGCCCCACCATATAATAAACTGTCAGAAAGTGAAAAGCAGTGTGCCTTGTTTACTGATAGGTCCTGCCGTATTGTGGGAAAGCATCGGAGGTGGAAGGCAGCTGTATGGAGTCCAACAAGTTGCAGAAACTGCTGAAGGAGAGGGTGAATCGAGTCAGTTTGTTGAGGTGAAAGCCATCCAGCTGGCCCTGGACATTGCTGAACAAGAAAAGTGGCCAGTACTTTATACTGACTCATGGATGGTGGCAAATGCCCTGTGGGGGTGGTTGCAGCAACGAAAGCAGAGCAACTGGCAATGCAGAGGTAAAGTTCCTGTGGTGCACGTAAAGAGCTGGCTGGTGAAGGCAGTCTGGGGTATTCCTGCTTAAGGTAAAGGCAAACCCATGGGTTTGCTTTTGCTCAAGGACCTAGATACCCTTGGTGGGTAATGCGAGAAGATGGGGAAGTCTGATGTGTACCTCAAGGGGATTTAATTCTGGGGGAAAGCAGCCAGTTAGCTCAATTATATGCTGTTGCCTGCTGTATAGCACTTCTGTAGCCCGTTAGCTAGATGCCCATTTCCACCACTCTGGGCTTTGAAAAGAAGACATGTACTGTCATGGTCATCATCAGAGAATAAAGTCATGGGAATGCCAGCAGCAGCAGCAGCAGAACTTTCCTCAGGACACCATCGACTGACCCTGACTTCTCTTTGATCATCACCCCAACAAAGCATGAACTTTGATGAAACCAAACGAGTTCAGTAGTGACCAGATGAGTCCAGGAGGAAGCAGAGGCAGGACACCTGACCCAAACCAGCCAAAGGGGTATTCCATACCACAGCACATCATACGCAGTATATAAACTGGGGGGAGTTACCTGGAAGGCCCAGATTGCTGGTTGGGTTGGGCTGGGTATCGGTTGGCAGGTGGTGAGCAATTGTATTTTGCGTCACTTGTGTTTATTGGTTTCTTTTCCTTTTCCCCTTTTAGTTTTATGTTCTCTCCCCTTGTTCCCATTACTATTATCGGTGGTAATTCTTATCTCAGCCCGTGGGATTACGTCCTTTCGATTCTCCTCCCCATCCCTCCGGGAGTGGAGGGGAAATGAGTGAGCTGGGCTTAAACCATAACAAAGGGAAATAAAAGATGGTGGTGAGAAATGGTGGTGACTGTTGACTCTTGCTTGGTGCTACAGCGCAATACAATAGCATTAGACCACCTTGTTGTCCCACAGCTTTTTAAAACCTTTGTTAGCATGTTAGTTTCTTCTTCCCTTGCTGTTGGCTGCATGCCATAGCTGCTGATCTCAAGGAGCGTAGGAGTTGGGAGGTTCACCTCTGGAATACGTGGGAATATAGATAGCTACCCCTGCAGAACATGTGCCTGGGAGTGGGAGGTAGTTGACCGACCAATGATTTTTATGAGAATCAGGCAAGACAAATAGTTGTGGAACTGGGCAGAGAAACTGGTTTTATTCTGTTACCTTGATACTGAAGGATTTTCTAATTCAGTTTCTGTTTTCAGTCTCACTGCACTAGTAGTGTGCACAGTGATTTTACAGTAATATGACATACCTTGAACGCACTTCAGAAACATGATAAACCCACACAAGTAGTCTGGACTTAAACCAGAAATTAATGTGCAGGCTTCAGTGCTTGAAACCTTAAGAGTATGGTACTTCCTGATGCGGATTTTGAGAGGAATAGGGAGAGATGAGGTACACTGCTAATGCATTTGATGCATGGTAATAAGATCTCGCAGAAGCTGCACATGGTTTGGGTAGTGTTCCAGTTGCACGAACAAATCCATATCTTGTATGAACGGACATGACTTCATTGAAGTAAAAGTATGATAGAATCATAGAATAGTTTGGGTTGGAAGGGACCTTGAAAGGTCATCTAGTCCAATCCCTGTCTGCAGGGGTATGTCATACTTTCAGTGGTGTTGATTCCTGGTGGGAAAGTTTCTGAATGCATATAAACAGCAGAACCAAACCACGTATTTGGATGCAGGCTTGAATGAATGAGTCTATTCAGTCTATAGGAAGATCAATACCCAGGTGTATGCCAGAAAACCTAAGAAAAACAGAAACACTGCAGTGCTCATACAACTAATGATGTTTGTACAAAGGACCTTCATGTGTTAGTAGAGATTGTGTTGCTGTAATCTACATAGAATTACAGCTTTCGCATCCCAAGAGCATTATCACTTCTTATGTTTTGACTTTAGCCCATAACTTCAGCCCATTCATAAAAGGTACCTAAACACTATCTCTAATAAGGATATTTACTGTCACCAGCTTTAGCTACAATATATTTGAGATGTGCTCTTTGTTTTGTGTTCGGTTTTTAAAACTGAGATCACAAATTTGAGATTCATTATAGCAGCAACTTTTCAATTAGGGATTATTTCAGAGTTAAAGACAAAAAAATGTGCAGCACTATTATGCAAATGGGTTATTTTTAAACAGTAAATAGAGAATTAAACTAAGAGTGAATCCTAGTAAGGTCACTCAGCTCACCTTCTGTATTTGATGAGAATGTCAGGCAATAGTTGCTTTTATCTAAATAGAATGTGAAGTTACCCTTTTACTTTGCAAAAACTAATTAAAACTATCTTAACTTGCATGGGTATACAGTAAATTAATTGTCATTAAGTAGGAATTTGAATGTCCTATCATTCATCATGCTAAAGAAAACCCCTTTCTTCTTTGTCAGAATTCTAGATTAGAAGCAAGAACAAAACAATTAGCGGGAAGCTGATACTAAGACTTCTTCTTAAAAAACAATGCCCATGTTTGCATTTAACAGCAAAGTACAGTGATCAGTGCAAAACAGTGCCATTTGGTTACGTCTTTCTTCTTACGGGTTTGTATAGTGATCTTAAAAGTACTCTTTTGCCTTTGCCCAGTCTTGTCAAAGGAAACAGGAGAGAGATTGGTAGTTTCCCTCATTATCTGCTATCAAATTCTCAGCAAGTTGACTTAACTCAGTCAAAGGCCGCTGCTCATTTATTGCACACAACAACCAAACATATACAAGCAAGACGTTGTTCTTGTGTGAAGCAAGTCTGTCTCCTGATTTGTGTGGTTATACAGCATCTAGCACAGTAATTTGGCATCTCTACCCTCTCCAGTAGTACAAATAGTAATTCTAGCAGCAGCATGCACAGGGCTCAAAAGCATGTTTCATGCAGTTTGTGGCCTTATGTTTTGCTCTGTGATGCTTGAAACTGATTTCAAGATGGTGATGAGTGGGACAGGCATTAATCAGAATGTTAAATCTGTCCTAAAGAGCAGACTTCTTGAAGCTGTGAAATTCACTGTCCATAAACTGTCTAATGTATTGTGGAAGAATAAGGCCAATAGTGTGTATGCTTGATTGTCCTTTTTCCTCATTCTGTCCTGTGTGGCATGAAAAGTGGAACAAAGTTTTCTTGGCTGCTGTAAAGCTTTATTACAGTATTGGTGGCCAGAATCCCTAACCCAATCTTTCCATCGTCTTGCTTGATCTAAAAGAGTCAGATGTGGTACCTCTCAGTGTGACATGAAAGTAACTAGGAGGGGAGTAGATGGGGGTGATACTGACAGTACCATGGTAAAAAAATGATAGTCTTCTGCATTTGATACCTGCATTATTTTCACTTCGGGAATACCTTTTACTCTGCTTTTAAACTGTATTCAGTGGAAGGCAGGCATGTTGCCTGAGGTTTCTAGATTCGCCCTGAGAGTATTAATATCCTCACTCTGGTTAACTTTTGCCTGTGTTCACTCAGGATGGGAGGGTTTTTTATTTTTCAAGAGTACTCAGCATTGACCTACCCCTTTTGGCATTGGAGGCACTGATAGCAACCCAGTTGACGTGAAGAATTTGGCTGGCCTGAAGAGTTAATCCAATGTAAGAAGCTTTGGACTGGGTTTGATTTCTGATTTTCAGGCACAGTTGGAGAATGAGGGTGGAGTAGCAAAGCCATTCCTTTTCCTCTCGTACTGATGACAGATTTACCAGTTTGAAAGCTAAGGCAAAACTGATGACAAATGAAGAGTTTTCATGAAGTGAAAACAAAGTTTACACATCTGTGAGCAGAAACCAAAAGGAAAAAGAAAGAAAAGCTTTTAAAAATCAAGCTTTCCTTGTTCATAGCCTTCAACAAAAACTAGTGCCGGGGACAGGTTCAAAGAAGTTTGATTTAAAGGGATGGAATAAAAAAAGGTTTGATGAAGTTTGATTTAAAAGGATGGGATAAATGATACGTGTCTGAAGATTGCCTTATAAATGATTAAGCAAGGCTAAAAACTTCAACTCAGAAATCAAATTCGTGGGCAAATTTGCTGGATGGCATATTCCATTTTTGAAATTTATGATGGAGATAGATATCTGTTATTTTAGGATTGATCTTCACCCCAGGAGTAAGATCTTTTCTTCTGTCACCTGCTGGATTCTTGTCATCACACTCAGTCTTTGCTATCAGCTACTGACTTCCTATTACTTTAATGTCTACTCCAGAAAGGTGACATTCCTAACCAAATCTTCACTGTCAGCTTCCGTTCACGTGCTTTGCCAAAGCTGATGGTTTCTTTTAGTTTCAGCACTTGTGCGAAGGTAAATGAATTTTCAGTGAATCAGTGCTTCTGCATTTTTGGGGGTTTTAAAGTGGTATCGAGTAGGGAGTGTAATGCATTGGTGAGAGAATAGTGTGAGCAGATGAACATCTCAAGTTGCTAAATAAATACTGAAGTGTTTGCTTTTAAAATAAATGCCTGGGCAAGGCTGAAAACTTCGGTTTGCTATTCAGAGGCACTGACAAATTATGACCTATTCCTTTTTATAGTAACATACTAAGTAAGACTGATGTTGTGCCAAATTAATGGTTTAGCAAATGTCCTGCAGTGTAACAAGTGGTCAGCTCGTGCTTAAGACTTTTTAGGCATGTGAAACCTAATTAAACCATGAAGATCTGAAAAAACAGTAATTCCATTTAATTGTCTTTTCAGTTTTGAAAAGTGGCCTCCCTTGAAGCCGGTCCCCCTCTCCTGTGGCCAGACTCTTGTCTGCCTCAGCTGTTGGCTTCCGCTGTGAAGCAGAAATACTCTCTTTTTGCAGGAGTCTGTTGGCCCTTAGGACGTTGTTCCCATACCAGGTAGATGGGGGGGATCCATCTCTTCAGGATCGTAAGAGCTTTCAACAATTGTCAGTAGTGCCTGTTCAATCCTCTCTGAGATGCAGGCTGGAATACTGATGAGTCTGTTTGTGCAGTTCTGGCATGCAAAATAAATGGTGTCTAATGGCAAAAAGCAGGAAAACACAACTGTTGTCTCAAGCTTTATTGCCCAGCCTAGCTTCAAAGGAGAGGTACTCAAGTGCTAGTATTCTTAACAACTGCTCCACTTTTCTTTTTATCAAACCTATGCACCCTTTCTCTAGTTAGCATCCGTAGCCATGAGTCCGTGTTTAGCAGGCTTGTAATGAATTTCTGAAAGAAGTGGAAATCCCTTTGTGGTGTCAGGTTCAAGAATGGATTTCAAATCCATAAGAAGTAATTTTTCAAAAGCATTTCTGCTGGAAGTCACATTTGAAACTGTTCATACATGGTCATCAGCAGCACCTGGCGTCTCAGTTGTAAATACAGATGTTTAACTAGGTGTTACTTATCAAAAGAAAGGGTGCTGTGCTTGTCCTCTCTGAGCATCTCTTCTGGCTTCTTGCTGGCATGATGAGGTCTGTGCCCACCCGTTTTAGGAAAACATTATTACGTCCTGTTGTATATATAGCACACCATTGGGATGGCTGGTAGGAACACACAGTACTGTGATAGCAGTGCTTTCATTTTGCTGGTCAGCGTATGTCTAGCAGGTCTTCCTTGTCCCCTGCTGTTTAACCAGGAACACTGGTACTTGCCTGTCCTCTTGTAAAGCCACTATAACTGAGTTTATTCACCTATAAAGGACTGAAATTGTATCCTTAGCTGAGGCAAATTACATTACCACTAACTTCAGAGGTGTTCTCATTCATGCTGGCTGAACAGTCAGCAGAGGAGAGCTGTGGATCAAAGATGTAAGTGCGACGTATTACTGTATGTTCTTACCGTGACATGTATCTTGTATTTCCTTATTAAATATGTTGCAGCTTCTTAAAGCTGCTGATTGTTGTTGATTTTTATTTTAGCACAACTAAAAGGCCTCTGCCTTTAAAGACAAAGCACAGCACTAATAAAATATCAAACAGTACAATAGCAAGCTCATAAAAAGGAGATAAAACAGATTACATAAAATAACATAGTAGCTTTTAGGAAGAAATAAATGGCTACACCTAAGTTTTAAATGATGAATCAAGGGCATGAATATTCATTTAAAGACTGAACCAGTATGGGCTAAGGCCTATTGTAGAGACAGAACACAAAAGGAAAAAAAAACTGTGTTAGCCAGATGGCAAAGAGACTTGACACCCATGTTGGCTAGTTGAGGCCAGTCTAAGCACAGGTTAGGAAGAGGGCTGTAGATGGAGATCTGGTCACACAGTCACAGCAGCAATAAAATGGCAGCGTTTAAGACCAGTAACATGGGTAACATGCACAGAAAGAAGGGCAACCCACTCAGGTGTGTAAGGAAAATGTAATAGCCGATTCTGATCCAGCCCTGTCCTCGGAGTGAGTTTAATTGGAGTCATTTGGGCTGTTCTCCTTGCTAATATTAGGTATACATAAGTTGAAATACCCTGCTGAAAAAATCATCCTGGGCACCAAGGTACAAGCAAGAATTAGGAAAGGCAGACCTATAATGGGAGGCTTTTGGCCAACTGTAAATTATTAGCAAGTTACAGAGAATGTCAGGGACTGTAAAGTAAGCATCATACCCAAGACCTGCTGACCCTGGCTGTCAGGAGCGTTAGGACTTAGTCCTTTACTAGAGGTTAAAGGGATTAAAAGGGTAGAAGCAGCAGTATAGTCAAAGGAAACAGTTCAGTACGCAGTGGGGAAGCTAATTCTCTCCTTGGTCTCAACTGAGATTGAAAATAATTAAATAAATGGAAGAAATTTAAGGTGATGTATCTTCTGTCAGGACTGCAGAGAGTTGGGGTGACATGGTAAAATAGACCAGAAGAGGTGGAAATTTTCAGAGCAGCACAGAAAATTTAGAAGTGCAATATATATTTATTTAAATCTATATGGCGGCTGTTTCTTTGCTGCTTTGAAAAGTTTAAGCTCTAGTTTTAAAGTCCTAGGCTCCTGTACACCCCAACACAAGAGTATAGTGGGATCCTGGACTAATTCAGATAAAGCCTACTGTTTCACAGTCTAATGGATCAAGTATCGACCAGGCAGAATTATGGTTCACAAAGGAAAATCTGCCTCTTCATTTCTACATTGTATTTTACAATTACAGCTTTGGCTGTACGTATGAAGCGATGCGGCTTTGGGTTTGCAGGTAGCCCGGATCTGAACCACTGTCTCATTGCTCATGGTTGAATTAATGATGTGAATGTCTAAGAAGCCATCAGATTCATAAATCACAAGAAATGAGAGGGATAACTCATAAAAGTCTTTTCCTTTTGTTTAGCAATTTATCATTTTGCTTGCACATTAATAAACAGAGCTCCCCTGAGGTAAGCCACAGGAAGACAGATTTTTCTTCCTAATTTTCCTCAATCGTAGCCAGTATATCACAAGTGGAGAGAGTAGGCTTGTCACAGCGTGTTGGTGTCTTGCGAGTCCCTTTACCCATCACTGATAACAAATAAATGCGATTAAGTACCCTGGTGGATAATTATTTGTGTTTACATAACAGGCGCCAGGTTTCCAAGCCCAAGATTGTCAGCTAGACCAAGCCGGAAGCGCACGTTGTCCATATCCCCCTTATCTGATCACAGCTTTGACCTTCAGACCATGATACGAACATCTCCAAATTCCTTGGTCACAATTCTGAATAACTCTCGTAGCAGTTCCTCAGCCAGTGGTTCTTACGGCCACTTATCTGCAAGTGCAATAAGGTAAGAACAGCATTTTCTACCTCTATTATATATTCTCGTTTACATGTTATGCACGCAAACACAAAGGTGAATGTGTACTCCCATCTTCAGGCAGTTGTTGTGTTTTTATGACTATGTGTATTTTGAAGTTTCTATGATATATGTTCACTGTAGCTTAAAGTACAAAATACTTTCCTTCTTCTTGCTCAGAAAGGTAACCACAAGGGCATATTATTGTCCAGTGCAGGTAACGCTCTATCTGACCACAGTAATGGTGTATGTGTCCTCAGGAATCTATTTTCAGAGAAGCCTCTCCAGGATGGGTTTGTGACTTAAATCACTTGGATTCTTATGGCCATATAGATATAATGGACAGTGAAATATTCCTGCATTACAGTTACCAGAGGGTAAAGCACAGACGTGTGGTACTTTTCAACTAAAATGTTTGGTCAGTATTTATCTCGGTATTTATCTCCAAAGATAAATGCTGTGGCTAAATTACCTGTTCTTTTCTGTACCAAGGAAGTACTGTTATCACCCAGTACCATCAGAAATGCTGGGATTTCCACTCGGTCCCTCCACTTGCATGTGCAAGGAAACAGCTAAAAATGGCTGTTTTGGAGGTAAAAAAGCAGAATACCAAGGGTAGGTTGGGCAGAAGTTGTGCAGGAAAGGGGAGTAAAGAAGGCACAGGGAGAGGAGACAAAAGCAAGAATGTCAAAAAAGAAAATGAAGAGAAACAGCAATAAAAAGGAGTGCAACTGCAGAACATTCTTGTATTTGTGATAGTGTTATATGTTAACTGAAAAAAGGTCCTTCGGTGTTCCACAAAGAATTCCCCACCTCCCCAAAGTCTCAGAAAATATTGGTTTTGCATTTGTGGCACTCAGACAAAGAGTACAGCTGGTCCCTGGCTTAAAAGCAGCCTCCACCTTCAATCTGCAATGAGGCAAAGGAGCAAGTCCCCACAGCAATTTCTTGAGATCTAAAAGACCCATTTTTGGCAAGGCTCAAACATACCTCTCCGGCAAAAATGACACAACTTCAAAACCCGGCTATGGGGATTTGCACTTACGGAGAAAATGGGGCACACAACTGGTGTGTTAGAAACCACGGGCCTGCCAAACTTTGGAAGTGACAGCACTGTAAATATTTGGTATTAAAGTGCTGTTGGGGTTCTTTAAGCATTTTGTTTAAATAGTAGTGCTTCATAGCCCTGATGTACTTGAATAGCTGTATAGTATTTCACAGGTATGATATCATAGCTCTGCAATACGTCTCTGCAATCTGTGTAACCACAGGCCCAATTATGAAGCTCCATAATGTGCAATATGATTTATGTCAATAGCTGGCAGCAGTTTTGGACCACATCTGTTAAATACATGTGCTTTGTGGAGGTGTATTGTGCCTTTGATTAAGATGGGATGGCACTTTAATTGCTAACCTCCTTTTCCATCGCTTGTAACTTTGGTAAAGCAAATAGTGCATGGAAACTGGCATGATCTCTACAGTGAAGTAAGTAAGTCTTCCCTCCTTTTCCTCTCAGCTGGAAATGGGTGGTATGTGTTTTTGACACATAGAATCACAAACCTAAGGGCCATCCCTGCAGACCCAGAGCTGGATGAATAGGTTTGTTGAAGGCAGTTGTGGAACTGGAGTGAGTTTTAGGAAGAGACTGATTAAGGATGCTAAGGGGTAGAACAGTGAGTCTTGTGAACTGAAGAAAGCAAGGCTTGTGTGCCTGAGCCTATGGCTGGCTGAAGCTTTTATCACTTCCTGGTCATGCTTTCCAGGAATGCATAATCAAAAATTTCACTTGAAATTGAATTAATAATGTTTTTTCTTTTTGATAAGAGTATACGTGTTCAACCTGAAAAGTTGGAAATGCACATCTCCATTCTTCCCAGGGCAAAGGAGAGAAAGGGAGAGAGCAATAGCTCTTTCTTCAGTTTTGCAACTGGCCTCTGTTTGGTGCCATGTAATTTCTCCCATGTGAACCTGTCTATAAAAGAGTTACACCAAAATAAACAGTGATGTAAGGTATTAAACCCAAGCCACATTTCATTGCTTTAATAAATTGCAAGACTAAATAGGAACAAGACTATGAATAAAACGTAATGTGTTACAGTTTGCTGTACTGTAAGTAATGCATTCAGCACGAAAACTGCTGTACTGTACTGTGCCATCAATCCATAGGTTCATCCTGTTTAATATCTTGTCTGCAACAGTGATGAATCCTAGAAAACACTTGTCCTAGTGTAAAATCCCAGCTTCTGGAAGCTTGCAGGTAAATTTCATAGAGCTTGCTGCAAGAAAATGGTACAGTTCAGCAGCCCACTAGATGGAATTGGAGAAAGGAGGTTTACATATTTTAGGCAACATCAGTAGCATTAATGTAGCATTGCACAATTCTACTTTTAGATCTTGTGTCCAGTTACTTTGAAGTTAGCCCAAATAGTTTGCGCTTGGCAGCATTTTTCATGGCAGATACCTGTCTAATGCTGAGTATTTCCAAAAAGCATCAGCAAAGTTATGGACTTATCAGAAGAAAGTTAGAGAAGAAGAGTCTAGAAGACCTCTTGCTACCTTTTGCTAGTAAAAGACCTCTAAAATTCACCAGGAATGTTTCCTTGATGCCATAGATATGATTTTGCTGTCCTTGGGAAATTGTCCCATTCAGCCAAGTGATAAAAGCCCTTAGGAGGGGCATGTGTTAAATAGCCTAAGCATTCAGCATGTTCCAGTCCAGGGCCCATAGACAGGAAAGAGGACCTTTCCCTGCAGCTGCAGCTCTGGTTAATCTGGTACCTCTTCGGGATGCATGTGGATGCTAAGCTGCCTGCCCAGCCATAACAGCCTTGTGAAAAAGAAAACAGTCTTCAGGGGAGATAGGGGTCAGAGCCGGAGCTGTCCAGGTTAAGTAAGCTGGGACCAAATGCTTTTATATAACACAACATAGGGTTGCACTAGGAGAGAGAAAAAGCTGCAGAATAAAGCATGCAGAAACCAGTCATTAAGGAGAATGAAGGTACTGCCCTCTTGTGATTGTGCTTTGATACCATCTTTAATTTCAGGGTTGCACAGTATTTTTTTGCATGGCCCCTGCCTGCTTCAGTGCTCAGGCTGAACATCCTCTGTGCATCAGTCAGAGCTACAGGACCCTGCCTCACTGAAGAAGAGGAGGGAGCCTCTTACCTGGTAGTTTGCTGCCTGAAGAACAGACCCTGCTCTCAAAACACAATCCCAGCCTGATGATGGGCAAAGTGAACTAGTTAGAAGCGACCACCAGGCTCATACAGTTTCTCTTTTGGACGTCTGGACTGCTACTCTTAATGTGTCTGAGCAGCTGGGTTGCTCACAGATACGGCTTGAAGTTACTTCACTATGAGGGTGGTGAGGCACTGGCACAGGTTGCCCAGAGAGATTGTGGCTGTCCCATCCCTGGCAGGGAGGCTGGAACCAGGTGATCTTTAAGGTCCCTTCCAACCCAAACTGTTCTATGACTCTGTGACTCCTGTTCTGAACATTTCAGGTATTGTGTCATGTTAATCAATCTGGGAGAACTGGTCTTCATGTCTGAAATTGGGCAACCACAATGAGTGGCACTTTTTAACCTTCATCTGCCTGTGACTCCTGTACCTGTGGAAAATGAGTCCTTCTGCTTCACCTCAGAGGGAGGTTGAAGGCATTGATGTTTGTGAAGCAGTTGCTAATCCTGCAGGGGGGGGAAAGGGATGTGTGCTCACATGACTAAAAGCTGATGGGCTGGCACACAAACAGGTAGCAACTTTGCAGAAACAGGTTAGAAGAACATTGAGCCTGTAAAATCAAACATAGAACTAAATCTTCCCATATGTATCACCAGGACCACACTGGTCTTTGCACTGGAAAAAGGTACATCCTCTAACTAAAAGATTGCATCCTGTGCTCCACATGGCTTTTCAGCATAGGACTCTGTTATGAGCACTGTCTCGAGGATGAAATCAAATCAAATGAAAGGAGCCACATTTTGGGCTCTGTTACAGAGGCAAGCACAGAAAGGCTCTGGTCCTTGACATGGGTACTACTGCAGTTTGAATAATAAATAGCAATAGTTTAGCACAATCCAGATAGGGCTTGACTTGGCGAGCGCTTTGTCATTGTCAGCTGCAGTGTAGTGCTGTATCCTGACTACTGGCTGAGTACTTGAAAAGAAGATGTCGCTCCTGCTGACAGCTAATAGTGGATATCCTTTAGCACACCAGGTAGAGCTTCTACTTTATGCATTTGAAAACACCTGGTTTAGGTCTCAGCTGGGAGAGATTATGCAGAAAAGAGGTGTATGAAATAGCATCAAATGAGGATAATCCTTCATTTGACATTTACTCATTTGGTTACCTGCCTCAGTCCTGCAGTGCAGCACCCCTGCTATTAATCTTTTGTCAGGATGTACTTAATGTTATATCTGCTACCTGTGACAATTATTAGACTTTGCACTTCAGTAGCACTTCTTTTTTGAGAGGTAGCATAGCCTAGAGTGAATATAAAGGGGGTAATCACTTCCCATAATATTAGGAGTACCAATTCAAAACCTTTACAAAAGATTAGCTGGTGTTTAATAAACAGAGGAGGTTGGGGCTTCATGTTCTATATGATCTGAAACTCAGAACCTCTGTATTTTTCTGTTGCCTTAGCAGTGTTGCAATACCAAATTTACAGTCAGTTTTCAGAGAATGACCTGAATTCCCTGTCAGCTACAAGGTGTTTAAATCAGGAGTAATTCCAGCTACTACCAGAGACTTTCTTTGGGTCTAGGCAGATTTAACTGTGAATTCACCGTAGACATCTTATAGCATGTTAAAATTCAGTTTCATGTGAGCACGGGAGCCCTTTGGGATCTCCTCCAGGATTTGAAAGAAACTGAGAAAGCACAGCAACACTTTTCCACCCTCCGGGATCTGCCCCTGCTCCCCTGATGTCATCACAACAGGAAAGAGCAATTAACATAGTGTGGTTAATTACAGCCAGATCCTGGCTGTTCT